CTATTTTTTTTATCCATGTCAAACGGGTCAATACTAAAATAACTCGACCGTATTTGGGTAAAATTAAGTCCCCATCTTATTTACACAAGAAAATGACAACACTGAAAATGAAATCCAAAAATGGTTCACTTACTTTGTCAAATTTACACCCATTAAAGTGCCGACCTGGAATTCTTGGTGTCCATGATACTTTCGGTTCAACTTGAAATCCACAAGAACAAATATTCATTTCATTATGAAAAAATAATTTTTTTGAGACATGGATTCACTTCAAACTTAAAGCTTAGATGAAATAAACCCAAAAAAAATCAGAATAAATAAACGAACAATAAAATAGTAAAAGTTTGAAATTTTCTGGATGGCCATGTATGAAATCGGCAGATGAAAGTTTTGGAACTTTGAGAATGAAGATGGGTCAACAGTGGATGAAAAAATACGGTCGGGTTCGGGTATTTTAGTATTGACCCGTTTGATATGGATGAAAAAATCAGGTGACAACATTTAATTGGATATTTATTATCCTTAGATTTGTGTGCGCTATATTTTTTACACTGATTTCAGCTTTTATGTTAAAGTGGAACATAAGAAATAGAGTTGGATGGCCAAAATGGAACAAGGTTAAGATAGAGTGCCAAAATAAAAAAATAGGGCCAAGTTGAATGGATTGTATATGTATTTGGCCTTTTTTTAATCTATGGTATACATAAAGGTAAGAGATAAATGGAATGCTCAATTATAAACCTCAACTTTCATGGTTTAGTCTAAATCGGCGGCAGAAGGGAAACTTTTGATGTTCAAAAACATACTTATATTTTTCACAGCCTAGACAAACGATCATGGAATCGCTTTGGGCGTTAGGTCTAAGTACATTATTGTACAATCCAAGTCAATGACCTAAGAATATGGCGGATTCTACTGGAGCCTTTTAAGTGAACAGAAACGGATTACTAGTGAATGCATGTGAAGAGTTACTTTTCTTGAGTGGTAGTCAATGTGAAAATACGTTAATACTACTAACATCGCAGTCATCTTTCCAAAGTCTTTGACTTCGTGACTCGTGAAGAAGTCTAGGGATTTTTTTTACTTAAAAAAAAAAAGAAAGAGTTAAATTCAAAAATAGCCAAATTTACAACTGATCGTTTAAAAATAGCACAGTTTTAAAAGTAATCGAAATTTAGCCACTTTTCATGTAAAGATAAATCTGAGCAAAAACACTATTCAAAACCCGGAAAATACGTCAGTATATTATACTGGAGTTCCAGCATAAGTATGCTTGAACTCCAACATATTATACTGGAGTTCCAGGATAAGTATGCTGGAACTCCAGCATAATATGATGGAGTTCCAGCATAATATATTGGAGTTCCAACAAGTATAATTGTCCAGTATAATATACTGGAGTTTGGAGCACATGTGCTCCAGTCTCCAGTATATTATACTGGAGTCAGCAAAGTATACCGGTTCAGCATAATATGCTGGAGTTCATACACAGGTGCACCGAACTCCAGTATATTATGTTGGACTGGTCTCTGTTGCAGCAAAATAGTAGCTATTTTTTATTGACTTCGTAAATGCTGGCTATTTTTGAATTACTAGTCCGAAAACTGGCTATACCGTGCTATTTTTACAAGATAAGGGAATTTAAGGGTAGTAAATGGGGGTTGGACTAATTTTGGGCGGTCAAAATGGGTTGAGTCAATAAATGGCTGGATCAATGATTTGCCCAAAAATTACTTGGCCTAAGATGGACTGGGTCAAGATAGGCTAAAATTTGGGTCATAGCCCAACTCAACCAACTCTTACAAAGCTTTAATTAATATGTGTTGTTTTCTTACAAATTCTTTAATTACTAAATAAGATTTTTTTTGTTATGGTCATATATAACATATCAAATATATGGACCGAAAGGAACTCTAGGATATTTGAAAAGGTGAAAAAACGTGGATAGTTTAGCTAGAGAAATTGTTTGTGTATGTAATGTGAGAGCTTCTGTAAAGGTTGGTTACATACTTAACCATCTACCCTTTTGTTAGCAAACTGAGATAAATAGGAGCAAGTCTAGACTTGGGTGTAATAACCAAGGAGTATGATAAGAATAGTGACATAACTATAGGATGCTTGATGTACTTTGTAAAGTTTCCCAACTGGTGATTAATGAAAATAGTTGGTTACCAAAAAAAAAAAAAATTACTCATGAATTAATTTGGGCAAAAAATCGATCCAATATTAGATAGACTGAAATGGGGAGAAGTTCAAAAATAACCAGATTTACAAGAGGTCATTCAAAAATAGCCACAATTTCAAAAATAATCGAAATTTAGCCACTTTTTATGTAAAGATAAATATGAACGAAAACATTATTCAAAATCCGAAAAATACTCCAGCATCAGTAAACTCAAACTCCAGCATAATATACTAGAGTTCCAGTATAATATACCGGAAGTTCATACACAAGTGCTCCAATCTCCAGTATATTATGCTGGAACTTTCTGCGTGTTGGAGTTCCAGCATAATATGCTGGAAGTTCATACACAGATGTACCGATCTCCAGTATATTATGTTGGACCGGCCCCTATTGCAACAAAATAGTGGCTATTTTTCAATGACTTTACAAACGCTGGCTATTTTTGAATGACCAGTTGGAAAACTGGCTAGCCCGTGCTATTTTAAAGCCGAAATAAGTTGGATCAAGATGGATTGACTTCAACAATGACCGGGCCAATGAGCGACCCAACCTTGAGCGAGCTGAATGGGTTTGAGCTTAAATTACCACATCTAAGGGGATTCAACGTGTGTGTATATATATAATTTTTTGACAAAAGAAGTCATTCCTCCTGCACACAGATTTCTTGCTCTGCCTAGGGGTGTTTATGGTTCGGTTTGGATCAGTTTTTCCCTTAAAAGAAACCAAACCAAGTAAGTCGGTTTTTCAAATATTAGAACCAAACCAAACCAATTAAGTCGTTTTTTTTTTGATTCGGTTTATGTCGGATTTTGTCGGTTTTTCGATTTTTTGGGTTATTTGTCAGTTTTTTCTTAAATATAAGACATACACTACCAAGCACATATTTCGGCGACCACATTTTCAATGTAACACTTTCAAATCAATTGCCCTTTGATAAATCTATTATTTACCAAGATATATTGATACTAATTGAATCAAATAGTGATGAATAATTTAAGGACTCAACTAAAAATACATTATTTTTAACAAGAAATGGATTCTTACACTTAACAAAAGAAAACTACCAATCAAACTAGAATGTAAAGGTAAAGAACTATACTAAAAGTGCAAACTATTAACATTTACCATTAAATTTTTGAAACTTTGTATAAAAATATACATATATATAGGTGTAATAATAAATTTGAAATAGCTATTCCTATAGTCGGTTTGGTTCAATTTTTTTCAGTTTTTTTGTGATTAAAACAAAAACCAAACCAAATTTGATCGCTTTTTTAAAATTCAAAACCAAAACCAAACCAGACCAAAAAATGTCAATTTTTTTGATCGGTTTGATTTGGTTTTCGATTTGGTTCGATTTTTCGGGTTTTTATGAACACCCCTAGCTCTGCCCCTACAATCGTGACTGCATAACCTAATAAAGTTAAGATATTGGGATTTATTGAACATTTTCCTGTACCCAGCTGGTATAATCTTGTCATATTTTCATATTTATACAATGTTTAGAAAATTCTTAAATCAATGCTGGATTCAATAGTATATAGTTCTTTTTTCATTGTAGTTATGAATTGTTTATTTATGGTAGCCTACCAAACTTTTGTTTAGCTAGAACGTACATCATTATGGACGTAAGTCGTGAAGTGGAGCAACGAGTGGAAAAAGAACTGTCCAACCAATTAATTACCCTTAGTTTGGTAAACATCATAAATAAAAGGAAAATGTGAACAGTAACTTGTTCTATGTTCTAACCAAATTAAGCAAACAAATACTCTCCTCCTCTTTCAATTTACGTAATTCTATTTGATGAAAATTGATGAAAATGAAGTTCAAAAATAAAAATAAAGAATCATCAATATTTTGTTGGCGCGGTTTTTTTACTGCCCCTGGTTTTCCGGAAGAATTTAAGAACCACGATCTTTCCTCGAGTCCCATCTCACAACCAACTTAAATGCACTTTCAATTGGCATAAAGTCATATGTATTCATTTACACCGACATTTTTGGGAAAAAGCGTATTCTCGATGTTGTAGCAGTCAGTAACAGTTATTGTAGCACTCATTTTTGTAACCCAAACATCAAATTTCACCTCAAAATCAAAATAGTGTAACATCAAATTTATTCCAATCATTACATCATTTTTTACGTCAAATTCTTTTTTTTATATTATAGTATTATCTTTTATTTATTTTTTATTTTTTATTTCCTTCAAACTAATATCTTTTTTCTTTTTTCCATATTAATTATATATAATTCACATTCACCACTTATATAATCATTTATTACAAAATTATTTTAAAGGATAAATCAACTAAAAATAAAATCATTGATAAAATATAATTAAATAAATATTACATCATAGTCAAATTTAATTTAAGTACCACATAAATATTTAACTTTCGCCTCTATTCTCCCATAGATGCTCGATTAATGCATTACGAAGTGCAAAATGCGCATCTTTATCCTTAATTTTTTTGTGTCGCGCTAACAATTGTTCAAATCGGTGATCTTCATTTACTACCATTTCTACCGTAGGAGCTGAACATTCACGTGATTTTCATCTATTTCAATTTTAATGTATCCTCCTTTTATGTACTTTAACTATAATATATTTTTATTTTATGTATTATAAAACGCTTCGACTTACGCCTGCATCTTCTAAAATACTGGTTAGTAGTAACTAGTAGGACTATTTATTACTATTACTGGTAGAATTTCCTAACAACTAAATCGATCAGAATAGCAGCACATGCTCTTCATTTAATTAAGATATATCCACATACACATAATTAATTAATTGAAGGAGTAAATAGAGTTGGCTAGAAAGGTGGAAAAGTTCTACCTAAACTGTTAACATTTGCGAAAATACCTACCAGATCTTGCCGGTACGGTAAGTATGATTTCCTCTTATTCTTATCCATTTCCTTTGCCGCCGCTTGGTTCCGTAAATAAACAGCCGCCGACGAAGATGTCTTCTCTCCGACGTTACTACTTCCCTTTGTTTTTAATTTTCCGGCTACTTTCGATGCCTCAGCAGAGTCCTTTGCTTTGGAAGTTTCGTTTTTCGTTCCTTTTTCCTGCGTTAAAAATACAAAACTATCCTTACCATCGCTATTACTCCGACGCATCAAATCTCGAATACTCCACCGCTTAAACGCCGATCCTGTTGAATTACTCTTCTTACATCTGCTCGGTGAAGGCTCGCTTAACTTCGGCTTCCATACACAGTAGGTTCCCGGAGGTACACTTTCCAACTCATCGACTTCCGATGACGAAGACGACGGCGGTTCGCGATCTTCTAAAAACAAATCCTTTAACGAAACCTGGATTGAACTATTGGCATTTTCCGACGTTTCGCCGTTAACGCCGCCTTTGTGATCTACGTCATAAGAAACGCCGTTTAGTAACAGATCGCGATTGAAAACGGGGAAAACATGCTGGATTTGACGGTCGTAGAAGAATTCCCCAACCGAAGCTTCTGGATTTTCGCATACCAAAGAGAATTCAAAATCATCCTCGCCAGCGTTCGCTTCCACCTCCGCCTGCTCCGCCACCTTAGAATCGCGTTTAATTTCATCGTAAATTTTAGCGGCAATCTCCGCCGCTCTATTTGAGGAATAGCTGCTAAAGCTAGGGCAGAAAAATTCTTCTTCCTGCATGTGGTCTGGTCTCTGTGAGTAACTAACTGGTGCACGTTTAGGGTCTCTGTAAGTTACGATCTTATTAATGGAGAGAGAATTAATGCACAGACTGTTTCAGGCTTTCCAGCTGGGGTTTTATACCAGGGTTTTTTCTTTTTCTCTTTTTTAAAGATTATAAACTTGATGAGCTAAAAAATATTTATACAATTAAGTCAATAATTCTATTAATGAACATTTGTTGGTAACTTACCATAAATGTAACTTAACCTAACAGATGTCTAAATATTTATTACACTTTTAATACATAATCGTACAACTTAACATCTTTTGGAAAAATATCTTATGTCTGCAATTTAAGGATCGTAGACACATATTAATCTTTTCTTAGATTCCACTACCCAAATAAATTGTTAAGACTAATTGATTTTTACCAGATGACTCTAAAAGATTTTCTTCTAATTTTTGGACAACGATGAGCTAATGTAGTGAATGCCAAAATATATGATATTACAATGTATTACAATGTAGCCCATCTTTTAATATTATTGTGAGCACGTGATTTTTACTTCACAACAATTACTTCAAAAGAGGGGGAAAAAAGTAAAATAATTTTCCTTTACATGCAATTTTTGAGAATTTTTTGTGGTATTTTATTAATTATTGGCATTTTTGTGCGTGCATGTTTATTTTTTCTTAATTAATGAAAAATACAAAAAAAATATATGTGCATGTGCATTTAGTAATTAATTTTGCATTTTTAGAATTAATNGGCATTTTTGTGCGTGCATGTTTATTTTTTCTTAATTAATGAAAAATACAAAAAAAATATATGTGCATGTGCATTTAGTAATTAATTTTGC